CTTTAGTTAAATTTTGTTTAAGGTATAAAGAAGACTTCCAGTTTCAGTTTTCTTCATATGGCTAGCCAGTTTCCCCAACACACTCTATTAAATAGGGAGGCCTTTTCCCATTGCTTCTTTTTGTCAGGTTTGTTAAAGATCAGATGGTTGTAGATATGTGGCATTATTCCTGAGGCCTCTGTTCTGTTCCATGGGTCTATATCTCTGTTTTGGTACCAGTACCATGCTGTTTTGGTTACTGAAGACTTGTAGTATAGTTTGAAGTCAGGTAGCGTGATGCCTCCAGCTTTTTTTTTTTTTTTTTTTTTTTTTGCTTAGGATTGTCTTGGCTATACGGGATATTTTCTGGTTCCATATTAAATTTAAAGTAGTTTAATTGGAGCATTTATGCCATTTTCATGTTAGTATTGAGATGTGAGATACTGTTGCATTCATCGTGCTGTTTGTTGCCTGTGTACTTTTTTTTTTCTTTTTGTTTTTGCTTTTGAACTTGTATTTTTGTTTCATAGGTCCTGTGTGATTTATGCTTTAAAGAATTTCTGTTGTGATCTGTTTCCAGGATTTGTTTTAAGATTTAGAGCTCCTTTTAGCAGTTCTTGTTGTGGAGGCTTGGTAGTGGCAAATTCTCACAGCATTTGTTTGTCTGAAAAAGAATGTATCTTTCCTTTATATATGATGCCCAGTTTTGCTGGATACAAAAATCTTGGCTGGTAATTGTTTTGTTTGAGGAGGCTGAAGACAAGGCCCCAACCTTCTAGCTTGTAGGGTTTCTGCTGAGAAATCTGCTGTTAATTGGATAGGTTTTCCTTTATAGGTTACCTGGTGCTTCTGTCTCACAGATCTTAAGATTCTTTCTTCTTAATTTTAGATAACCTGATGACAATGTGCCTAGGCAATGATCTTTTTGTGATGAATTTCCCAGGTGTTTTTTTTTGCTTCTTATACTTGGATGTATAGGCCTCTAGCAAGATTGGGGAGGTTTTTTTCAATTATCCCCCCAAATATGTTTTCCAAACTTTTAGATTTCTCTTTTTCCTCAGAAACACAGATTATTCTTAGGTTTGTTTGTTTAACATAATCCCAGACTTCTTGGAGGCTTCGTTCATATTTCCTTATTCTTTTTTTCTTTGTCTTTGTTGGATTGGGTTAATTCAAAGGCCTCGTCTTTGAGCTCTGAATTTCTTCCTTCTACTTGTTCAATTCTATTGCTGAGACTTTCTAGAGCATTTTTGCATTTCTATAAGTGTGTCAAATGTTTCCTTAATTTTTGATTTTTTTTTTTGCTTTAAGTTATCTGTTTCCTTAAATATTTCTCCCTTCACTTCTTGTATTATTATTTTTTAAAATTTCCTTGCATTGGGCTTCACCTTTCTCTGGCTTCTTCCTAATTAGCTTAATAACTAACCTCCTGAATTCTTTTTCAGGTAAATCAGGTATTTATTCTTGATCCATTGCTGGTAAACGTGATTTTTTTTGGGTTTGTTAAAGAGCCTTGTTTTGTCATATTACCAGAGTTGGTTTTCTGGTTCCTTCTCATTTGGGTGGGCTCTGTCAGAGGGAAGGTCTAGGGCTGAAGGTTGTTCAGATTCTTTTGTCCCATGGGGTGTTCCCTTGATGTAGTACTCTCTTCTTTTTCCTATAAATGTGGCTTCCTATGAGCAAAACTGCAGCAATTGCTGTCTGTCTTCTGGATCTATCCATTCAGCAAGTCTACCCAGCTCTGGGATGTGTCTGGGGGTTGTCTGCACAGAGTCCTGTGATATGAACCATCTATGGGCCTCTCAGCCAAGGATACCAGCACCCGTTCCAGTGAAGGTGGCAGAGGGGTGAAGTAGACTCCATGAAAGTTCTTTGCTTTGGTGGTTTAATGCTTTATTTTTGTGCTGGTTTGGCCTTCTGCCAGGAAGTGGTGCTTTCCAAACAGCATCAGCTGTGGTAGTTGGAAGAAACCCGTGATGAACAGTGCCCTAGAACTCTGAAGATTATATGCCCTTTGTCGTCAGCTACCAGAGTGGGTAGGGAAGAACTATCAGATGGTGGCAGGGCTAGGCGTCAGAGCTCAAATTCTCCTTGGGTGGGTTTTGCTATGGCTGTTGTGGAGAATGGAGGTGAGGTTCCCAGGTCAATGGCATTGTGTACCTAGGAGGATTATGGCTATCTCTGCTGAGTCATGCAGGTTGTCAAGGAAGTGGGGGAAAGTTGGCAGTCACAGGCCTCACCCAGCTCCCATGCAAACTGAAGGGCCAATCTGACTCCCACTGTGCCCCCCTAACAACCCTGAGTCTGTTTCCAGGCAATGGGTGAGCTGGGCATGAGAACTTGCCCCAGGCTACCCACTTCCCTGGTGTGAAAGAAAAGGGCTTCAGTTCTTCCCTTGCCTGTGGAGTCTGCACACTGGATTCATGCCCTTCCCTGATTTCTGGACAGGAGGCTTCTTGCCCCATTCAAATTGTTACAAAGATCATCTGGAGCTTTCCTTCTCCCTGTGGTGTTTTCCCCTTGCTCCTCTGGCCACCCTCCCAATGGATCCCTGTGGTACCTGGCAGGAATGGCTTGCCTGGGGACCCAGTGAGCTCTGAGAGCCTTTCTGCTGCTTCCTCTACCCCTGTATTTCTCTCAACTTTCTAAATTGACTCAGTGCCAGGTAAGGTTGAACACTTCTCCCACGAACAGAGTTTCAGTTTCTCCAGTGCGAATGTGTGTTCAGGAGTGGAGGATTTCCCTTTTCAACTTCCACAGTTGGAGCACTCACAGTATTTAGGGTGTCTGCCAGGTCATGCAGGAGCAGTTTGCTCTTTCAGAGGTCTGTGGGTCCTTTCGGGGTTGCTGGTTTGTTTTTGTAGTTGATATGGAGAAAAAATTCACAGTGTGAACCTCCACAGGCTGCCCTGTCTGTGTGAGTTGGACCTGCAATCTAGTCCTGCCTCCCTTCTGCCATGATGATTTCTAACGTCTTTTTATTTCTTTGTGTCATTTTCATTTTATTTTTCAATGTGCTGGATTTTTTCCCCATGCGTGGGATTTATTTGTTATTCTTTTCAGTGAAGTTTCTACTTTTTTCAGTGTTAGTCCCATTTGATTCAGTGTTTTCAGCTATTGTGAGTTTATAGGGTTCTGTCACATTTAACTCACTAGTGGTACTATTTGAGAGATAAGGATCCCAAACAAAGTTAACAGGGTCACTATTATATTAACTGTCTCACACTTGAACTGTAGCATTTCTTAGGTTTGTGGACTGAGGTTCATGTCTTCTATATAAACAAAAATAAGGCTGCTCTGGTTGTCTTCCTCTTTCCTTCCTGATATGGTTTGGCTCTGTGCCCACACCCAAATCTTTTCTTTAATTATACTAATCCCCACATGTAGTGGGAGGGACCCGATGGGAGGTAATTGAATCAGGGAGGCCAGTTTTTCCTGTGCTGTTCTTATGATAGTGAATAAGTCTCATGAGATATGATGGTTTTATAAAGGGGAGTTTCCCTGCATAAATTCTCTTGCCTGCCGTCATGTAAGATGTGACTTTGCTCCTAATTTGCCTTCTGCCATGATTGTGAGGTCTCCCCAGCCATGTGGAATTGTGAGTCAATTAAACCTCTTTCCTTTATAAATTACCCAATCTCAGGTATGTCCTTATTAGCAATGTGAGAACAGACTAATACACTTCCACACCTCTGGACACAGACTCCACTGAGCATAGATTAAAAACCTCAGGACCTGAGAATCTCCAAGTCTCTTCTAATATCACACACTATCCTGGAATCAAACCAGATCATGCATGTGAGGCTACAGGTAGAATACAGAGAATTTAATTATTTTTAAAACAAGACTTGTGGATTACAAATACAGATCCATTTGTGCAAACTGACCTGCCTGGTGGAAGGAGAAGAACCAGGAGAATTGATATGAAATTTTTTTTATCATTGTAAATTTTCCAAAACCAGACACAGAGACTATTAGATGCTTGGCACAAAGAGAGAGATCAGAAGGATTTGTCTATTGATAAATGGTATAGTGGTACTTCCAGCCTAGTAGCCCTGGAGCCTTCTGTTGCACAGCTGCCATAACTCCAGATTGCCAACAGGGGGTGTCTGGGTCTGAGGCCAGGCCAGGCTGAAAGAGGTTGAGGCTGCTGAGTGGTGATGCTGAGGCTGCTGAGGCCGTGACTGGCTCCACAGAAGGTGATGCCTGAGCCTCTGGGGAACACTGCGCTGGACTGAGGGACTCAGTCAGCCCTGCCCAGGTGGAAGGTGAGAGCTGGCTCCTCTGATCAGCATCAGGTGGGCTCACAGCCCAGGCCAGGCTGGGATAAGCAGTAGGGAAGAATAAGCTTGGAACTCTGTTAGGGAGATGAGAGAGAGGCTGGCTTCAGAGCAGGGTGAGCTAGAAGGGAAAGAAACTGGTGGCAAGGGCACTTGAGTAAAAAACACTAGGGAGCTGGGAAGGCCAGCCAGGAAGGAAGGAGGTTGACTGAGTTCAGTGCTGGGCCTAGGGCAGGGAAATGAGACCTAGGGACAGAGATGCATTTTGGCCTAAGTTGCAGGCAGGCCTGGCTTGGGAGGAGCCTGCCTGCCCCTGGAGGAACAAGCCCTGGAAATAGGAAACTGGGTGCTAATGGCAGGGGCCCTGGCCTCCTGGGTCCCTAGAGTCATTTCCTTTTCATTTCTCTGCTCCATTCTCTGCCACATTGTTAGGGGAACAGGTGGTTGGTTTCGAGATGATAAGAAATTCCTAAGGTCCAGGGAGGTTTATTATTATTTTTTTGTGGTGAGGTGGTAAAGATTGTTTGTTTGTAATGGAGTCCAAACTAGCTCTGACAGAAGGTTCAGTATCAAAGACACATGATAGAGAAATTGGTGAAAAAACTGTACAGCATGAGGTTTAGGGAAGAGAGAAAGCTGGGGGAGAAAGGAGGAGGCAAAAGCCAGAACTGACAGCAGACAGTTGCCTGGAACAGCATTGTTACATTTTGAAGATGGTTCAATGAATAAATAAGACTTCAGTCATATTTACGCTAGAGATCCATTTATTACAGCCCTCCAACCCAGAATGCCCACCCCCATGGGATTCTTGCCTCAGTACCAGAGAAGATGGTTAGGCCCAGAGGAAGGTTAGTTTCATGCCTGCTGTTAGATGCACTTCATTGTTTTCTTTATCCAGGGCAGGAAGTGTGAGACCTTGATGTAGACTCCTGGAGGTGTCCCATTGTTTTTCCCATAAGAGAAAACGCCTTGGACCATGTTCTTACACATGAGGGGCCCCCCGGAGTCTCCCTGTAAACAGAGAGAGGAAAGACTGAGTTGGCCTTTCCTGGGATGGGTGGTCTTTGTTAGGGGTTGTGTGTGACATCACTGCCAGGCTCCCTCAGTCCTGGGTCTCCAGCATGGCCCTAGCTGTGCTTTCTGGCTCTCCCCAGACCAAGCCTTTCTCTGCGATTCTCTCAGTCACTCTGGTGATAAGTGATTGTGGGATGACAGATCCTTCTCCTCCAACCACCCCAATCCACCTAGTCTTTAGGAGTGGACTAAAGACTGGATTCCTGGGGGAAACAGGCTACCCAAGCACTGGGCTGAGAGCATGAGGATCTGGCCACTGCCATCCCCGAGAACTCCCTCAAATTCCTCTCTCCCTGTGGTCCTTCTGGGTAGAGGCTGGAAGCCCAACCTTGAAACCAGTCTTTGTCATATTCGGATCCCCCACACAAATCTTGGTGGCTCTGCTGTAATCGTCATGGAAGACAGATTCACATTCCTGGTCCTTCTGCACTGTCAGCAATGCTTCCTGCAGTGGTTGCTAATGTGCCCACTGAGACATGGCCCCAGCCAGCCACACTGCACACCTGCCCTGGTTTCACCTGGGCCTTGCTGCTGGGTAGCCTGAGGGGCTGCACAGCTGGGGTCTGCTTGGCTTTTCTCTCCAGCTGGAGGGAAACAAGCAAGAAAGTCCAGGTCAGGCAATCGCCTTCAGGACCCCAACACAGTGATGGGGCTGCACCATCTTTCATCTCCTCTGAGGCACAGGAACAGGTCAAGAGGCCAGGATGGAAATGAAGGAAGAGCTGGGATCATAGTGGGAGTGGAACCAACTGGACCAAGAAAAGCAAGAGTGACAGTAGTGTGCCTCACCTGCAGTAGCATGATGTCGCTGGAGAAGTTCTCAGGATTATAGGCTGGGTGGGGGATAGCTCTTCTCACAGGGATGAACTGCTGGGCCCTCTCCTGTTCCTTGATATTATGGGCCCCCAAGGTGACATTTATGGAGCTGCACAGAGAGCAGGGTGAGAATGGGGGTAGAGTCATAGGGGATACAGCCTAGGAGCAGTAAGAACAGGTGACAGCTGGGGCAGGGCACGGCTGCAGCTGAGGGGAAGTTGAGGGGACAAAAGGGCTCCAGGGTGGAGTGACTGTGCCCTGTGCTTCACAAAGACATGAAGAGTAGGGCTTCTGGGGGCTTTCTCTTACCTTCAGGAAATATGAAATTGCTCAAGTTTGCATTTTGACCCTTAATGCATGCATTCGACCTTCACCACTGCTTTATTTGACCAGTATATGAAACCATGCCACTTGCTTTGACCTCTGACCCTCTGAGCCTGTCCTATTTCTCAGCCTTTCATCATCCTAGTCCTACTTCCAGGTGGCTTCTCCGATGAGTTTTCATGGGCTTGTGTTACGAGGAACTCTGGAAGCTCTCCTGGGCCACAGTTGCCAGGAGAGAGCAAGGGTCCTTGTAGGGGGCTCAGGAAGTGAGCTTGTGCTGCTCCTCACCTTCCCCAGAAGTGAGCAGCTGTCATCACAAAGTCCTTCCTCACTAGGATGCCACCACATCTCTTCTTACTCTTTTTATCCAGAAATTGAACAAAGGCCATGTAGGGGTGGGAGTGGGGCTCGGCCTCATGGCCCCCGATGATCTCTTCTGAAAGGAAAGTCTGGAAGATAAAGTAGCTGGGGATGGCTGTGGTCAGGGAAGAAAGCTTAGAAAGACAGTGGTTGAGGGTAAAGTCTTTTGTGTGCTGCAGACAGTGAGGGAGGGTCCTCCTGAGCTCTGTAGGCAGCACTCCTTGCAGGCAGAGTAAGCTTTTCTGAACTTCAAGTCTCACAACCTCCTCTGAGAAAGAAGGGACAGAGCTTGACTTCTGCATCCTACTTCAGAAACATATATGGAGGAAGAAAGATCTATTTTCACAATGGGAGATTCCCAGAGAATCCTGGACAGGACTTCCCTGGTTCCTCCTTCTGAGTGAGTCTTTCTGATCCCTCTGAGCCTTTCCTATCCTCCTGTTTGGTGCAATTTTATAGTGATCTGCCCATGAGCTTCAGGAGTTGGATTTTCTAAAATTCTCATGTCCAAGGGTCTAACACATTCTAGGTTCTAAGTAAGTGTCTTTTGGCTGCATAAATGAATAGTCTCTAATTAGCCTTTGGTTGAGGTTTGGTGGGGGTAATGCTGGTGGAGTTCAGGACATCAGGGTTGTTAGAGGGGGTTACCGCCAGGTGAGTGGAGTGGCCAAGGGCCTGGAAAGGCAGAGGGAGGTGGAGAAACCAATTAAAAATGGATCGCAAAGCCTGTGTGGAGCCAAGGTAATGGGAGAGCTATGGACACAGTCGTCTTGCCACCTCTGAGATCAGTTTCACCATGGCCTTCTCTCCTGGGCAAGGGTGATTGGGTGGGGGCACTGAATAATTTAAATGGTTCTTAAGCTAGGTCCAGTGACAACTCCCATGACTGCAACTTGGTGTCTGAGATTCCCTTTCCTGAGTTGCAGTGTAGGATAATAATTACTTATCTTTTTAGCTTCACAATCCCCATCAAATGCCATTTTAAGAACAATCCATACCCCAGGTCATAAAGAAGAGGTCTAGGGAGAGGGTAACACCTACTAAAACTTTTAGGGAACACCTTCATTTTTTGATCTTTGCTGAGTCTCTATCTAGCCTCATAAAGAGACTGTTTTAGCTGTGTATTTTGAAAAAGCTGTGTGCTCTCCAAATAAAAAGCTACTTTTGCTGTTACTTTTGGTCCCTAGGAGAAATGGGAGTCCTTTTCAGACAGCATGGGAGACACATGAGTCCTTCGGAGTCCTCTTGTCAGCCTCTGAGGGTGCAATGAGGGCGTGAAGCACTTTGGGAGGTGTCCAGACAAACAGGTAGGCTTGCTACAGAGCAGAGCTTCACCCTTGGGGTGTGCTCCTTGTCATCATGAGCCATGTCTGAGCGGATGAATCACATTTCATATGCAAGCATGTTCTCTGTTTGACTGTGCTGTTGTTTTTAATCAGAGCAGCATTGACAATGTTTTCACTTGATAGCCATGAATAATGTCATTCTATGTAATAATGTGTGGGCTTGATGAGGAGGCAGCGTTGGATGAGAAGGAGGGAGAATGGACATGTGAATTAGTGAAAAGTGTCTCTTCTTTTGCAGCATGAATGGGTTCAAAGCCCACCTCATACTACTAAGTATTTGGCTGGACACTACCAGTTGTGTGTGAAGCCTGTGTGTGTGAGTGTGTGGGCGTGTGTGGGTGTGTCTGTGTTTCTGTCTCCAGACCTGAGCAGCAGATGCTTCTTCCTGTGGCAGCATGTTACTCAGAACCTTAGATAACCCCCAGCCCTCCTAAAAACGCAATACATGTAGGTTTTAAGACATTTATCATGATTGGTGAGAGGGTGGTGACTGAAACCAGCTAATTTCCCGTATACCACTGAGGCCTGCTCAGCTTTGCTCAAGAGGGTTCTTGACTCTTACTTTGTAGCAGGAGCTCCTAAGTTAATCAAGCCTATTCAAGAGTTTCTGGTGGAAAGGCAAGATATCACAGGTTAGACCCAATGTTGAAATTTGAACTGGGCAAATTCTCATTAGAGACAAGGGACCAAAGACGGTGCCGATGGAATCTAATGTCTTTTGATGTTGACTTCAATCTGTTAAAGCTCTTGTGAAGCCATTGAACTGTAACATTGGGCCTGGGGGAGGCAGTGCACCCTCTGAAATTAGAGGTCTGAAGATTTGGATTTGATTTCCAGCCCTGTGCCAGTCAGTCAGCCACTCACTTTCAAGTGAGAAGCCTCCGGCGGGTGAACTTCTGTCTGTGTTTCTCGATTTCTGCACAGGGATTTCTGTGGGCCTTAAGGCCCACTGGGAAAGGATCCCTTTTCCAGCTCAGTGCCTGGTTTGTAGAGTATACTTGTCAATCTGGACTTTCATACACCTATGGTTTTGGAATAACTCTGTTACCTCTTCTAGAAATTAACAGAGAAAATTGACAGTGGATTGACAAGAAAGAGAATCCGTTCTAAAGAATTCCAATAGAACGGAATCCTTTATTACTAAAAGAATGCTCAAGCTGGGCGCGGTGGCTCAAGCCTGTAATCCCAGCACTTTGGGAGGCTGAGGCGGGTGGATCATGAGGTCAAGAGATTGAGACCATCCTGGTCAACATGGTGAAACCCCGTCTCTACTAAAAATACAAAAAATTAGCTGGGCATGGTGGTGTGTGCCTGTGATCCCAGCTACTCAGGAGGCTGAGGCAGGAGAATTGCCTGAACCCAGGAGGTGGAGGTTGCGGTGAGCCGAGGTCGCGCCATTGCACTCCAGCCTGGGTAACAAGAGTGAAACTCCGTCTCAA